GAGCCTACGGCGCTATCAACAAAATGATCAATTTGGGAGAGGTTAAAGTCGGCACGGGAAACCTCTGTTACTGAAGGTATTGGTATTGAATTTAACGACGAAGTAATCTTTTCCTTAAATTTTGCGACAGCACTATCTGATAAACATCTAGTATAGTAACTGTTGCTGAGTGGCGTGTAATCGAGTAAAAAGAAATCAGATAATGATCCGATAGCGAGAGATTCTGTTGAAAGACTTTTAGGTTATCAATTTCAATTCCATACGTCAGAACTAGATCGAGGGTATGGTTAAAACAGTGAGTGGGTTCATGTACACCCTGACTGAAGCCAATGGAGTCTATTAATGAGATAAACGCGGTAGCCAGGGAGTCATTATCAATGTCAACATGAATGTTAAAATCGCCTACAATAATAACTTTATCTGAGTTAAGAACTAAACTGGATAAAAACTCTGAGAATTCAGATACAAATTCAGAATATGGAGGCATCTCCTCTGTATATGGGGCACCAGCACTATCCACTATGCTACCGACGTCCCATAATGTGCTTTTTTGTCTGTCTCTTAGAACAACACAGCCAAGCTGGTGAAGCAGCTTAGCAAGAGTGCAGAAACCGAAGGTCAGTTTGCCTGTACATCAAAAATCAAATCTGAACTCTGCGTGTATATGTCAGTTGTGTGTATCCCACTAACATACTTGTCCTTTCCTTTTAGAGCTCAGGAAGTTGGCGTCTGTGCTAGTGGATGGCTGGATGGCTACAATCCGCTCTCAGAGTGTGTCAAGCAGCAGCAACTCTCCTGCCGGTATAGGCTGATGGTTTCTCTTTTGAAAAATAATAACTTTATTTCTATAATGCTTTTCTAAACCAGAGTTACAAAGTGCTTCACAGTACAACGTCATGCAATATGAGAAAACAAAGAAGTAGAAGAACATCATTTATAGAAAATGCAATGCAAGAATGATATATGTATGTACCTAAAATATATACACACACATACAAAATTATACAATGTTATACAAATGCCAGTCTGTGCAGGTGGTTTTTAACAGCTTTTTAAACTGAGGAACTGACTCAGCTGATTTAATGTTAAAGGGAAGTTTGTTCCACAGCTTTGAGGCTAAAACAGCTGTGATGCTGTTGTGATCCCCGCATTCTGTACCAATTGTAAACGGTGCCTCCTATCTGCACCTCCTATCTTCTAACAGGTAGTGACAAACTCTTTCTTCATCTTCTAGATAAGAAAAAGAAAAAAGAAGAGGGCAAGGTAACAGTGCGGGATTTAAAGGAAAGGAGTGGAGATGAAGAGAAGAAGAAAGAGAAACCGAAAGCTCATGCACCCAGCCACACAAAGATTCGGTCCATAGGTAAACTTCAGCTGATGAGCAGGGATGTAGTTAGCCCTGAAAGTTGTCTTTGAAGAAGTTCTGTACAAGATAATTAATATGTTTTGTGTTGTGCAGGATTGGAGATGGACACTCCCAATGTGGCTCTTGCTAAGAAGGCGCCCACTGCCCCGCAGCTGGGTGACAAGTACAACATCAAGCCTCCAGTCCTCAAGAGGCCAAGGTACTGTCTCCTCCTGTAGGAATGTTGCCTCATGACAGACTCATTTCCACCAAGCAGTCCGATTCAGTTCAGTCACTTCTCTTTGTTACACGTTGGAACCGTTATTTTTATGTTTCCATCGTCAGAAGTTGTGGATGGTACCAACAGAACAGTTCCAGTTTTTTCGTTACCTATCTGTTCAGGTACCTAGCACACTGACCCAATACTAAAAGGTGGAGCTACAGTCAGGTGATTGGTCAATAGAGATTTATCGCTCTTTCTTGACAAGAGAGACCCCTACAGGGGTGAGCATACAGGTCTGACCCTCTGCATGTAGACTGTGGCTAAAAACCTGCCATTCAGCCACTGATTTCGGCTGACCTTCGCCCTCCCGTTTGACTTCACTAATGTACCTATCTTTCCCACTTCACTCAAGCTTCTGTGGTATCGTTGTAATAATATTCTGCTTGAGCCACATTCAGCCAGCAAATCGCCTGTGGTGTTAACAGGTTCAATGAGCTCTTCCAGAGCTTAAGTATAGTCGGGCTTCACCTGTAGCCTGGGCTCTGATTATCAAATTATGTTTGTGCTTTTTTGTCACTAAAAGTTGAATAACACATGGGGGCATTTTAATGACAGCGCTAGCCTCCACACATGCAGTCCCGCCACCAAAATAAGTTCATCCCACACATTATTTTGCTGTCCAAGATGACTGTGATTGTGTTACAGAAACAAAAACAAGCCAGAGCATTTTTTTCCCTATAGCAGAAAGTTAATTAGTGATGCCAGACCTTTCTCCAGTGCTGAGACAGCCCTTAGGAGATAGATCTGGCTATGCAAGACTAGAGTTTACATACATTAGTCAACTGCCACTATAACTTACTCAATGCATGAGCTGACAACGTGAATTTATCAACACACCTTTAATGTCAATCTAAGATTTCTGGCCATTCCATTTGTTGTTATTGTCTCTGTTGAATTTAAAGTGGATTATAATAATACTCCATTTCCTCACTTGGAGAAATGTGGTGGAGCGTCATTCCTGTGCACTACAAGGCTGCTCTTTTCCAAACACTCCAGCCTGTTCTTTTTGTTCTGAAAATGTCATGCAACCCCATGATCAGTAAGGTCCAGACATTGCTGATTAAGAGGAAATACAGTGAAAGCTGGATAGAGCAGTGACATGGCTACTACCATTTGGTACAACCCCGCCTACATAATAAAAGTAGTGACTGTGGTAGAAATGACAAAACAGATCTACAGTTAAGGTACATGTCTGTATGGATAAAGAATGGTTCCAAGGGTACTGCACTGAAAGTGAAAGGTGGAAACACAGCTTATCTGTGTTTCAACAGCGCCTTCTTGTTATGCATTTTTGCAACTGGCCCATTGCTGCCATCAGGTTGCTAAAGGTGGTACTTACATGTTATCCTTTTATGTTAATTTTACCTCAACAGCTCGGGTTCATCAGATGCTCCACCTCTGGAGAAAAAATACAAACCTCTAAATACCCCCTCAAACTCTGCCAAAGAGATCAAAGTCAAGATCATTCCAGCACAACGTAAGTTTAAACATACATGCATTCAAAGACAGGCTCATGTTTGCAGTGCATAATAAAGAGATAGGAGTGATGTAGCAGCTGTGGTGGTCATCACTGTCTTGTGTCGTCACTGTAGCGATGGAGGGCACAGGGTTCCTAGATGCTCTGAACTCTGCCCCAGTGCCCGGGATCAAGATCAAGAAGAAGAAAGCTAGTACTGTTACTACAGCTAACACCAAGGTTGTCTCCCCCACTTCTAACAAGGTACACACTGATCTCAGTAGATTTTGACCTAGTGTCAGTATGTTTTATGGTGTTAAGGCCATTGTCTATCCATAGCATTCTCAGAATATTTTCTTAAATTAGGTTTTCATTCATTTATTATTTTTATTTAAAGGAAATGACCACTTTAGAATGAAAATACAGACAGTACTTACTGACCCTCATGCCGACAAGAAGTCCAGTGTAGTTTTTTAATCCACAAAACTGATGATTTTGGACATTGGTTCCATGCACTTCAAGTGTATGGAAAAATCCGGTTAGCTGTTATCCTCCAATATCCCGAACGAGTTTTGTGTATTAAAAAACTACACTGGACTTCTTAGCGGCATGAGGGTGAGTAAGAACTGTCTGTATTTTCATTCTAAAGTGGTCATTTCCTTTATTTACGGTTGTTTATTTTTTTCTTTGTCTTTTCCTAAATCCTCAGATTAAATCTGGTCTGTAATTTTTAAAGAAACATGACAGACTTTGCTGTGCTGTAATAATTTCTAGCCATTGCAAATAAGAGAGGGAATAGCTATTTCCTATAGGTGTCTCCTCATGCAAGACTTTCTAAGAATTAGGAGCTTTTAGCTGTCATCACCTCCAAAGCAGTCGTCTCACTCGCCCTCCTTTTTTTGTCCTCAGGCGAGTCCATTTGACAGCAAACCCTCTGCGTATTCTACATCTTCCACTAAACCATCATCTCCAGAAAGTGCTGCTTCCGTCACTACCGTTGATGAAAACCAGGAGCCAGAGCAGCCTGGGACCCCCGTTCCCTCAGAGGACACAGAGCTCTCTGACAACGGTGAGGTCCTCGTGCTTTTTGATGAAAACAGATTAATGTGCTCCTCTGACACTATACCATCATCTTACGTTTTTTCGTAGTTTATCGATCGCCTAACTCATGTCTTTCTCTTTGTCTCTTTTTGTTTGTAGGTGAGAAGCCTAACGCTTTGGCAGAACCTCGTGGAGAGGAAGAAAGCTTGACTAAGAAGGGCAAAAAGAAGAAGACAGTTCACTGGGCTGAGGAGGAGCAGCTCAAACACTACTTCTATTTTGATTTGGATGAGACAGAGAGAGGTAAGGCATGTGCATCTGAATGCTCAAGAAACTCTAACAGCAGCTGTCTAATATCAAAATAGGAGTTAATAACAGGGTTTTCCAGAAGCACCAGATGGACAACTGCACATTAGAACCTTTCCAGCTGACTACTTTCTTGCTGTTTCAAGTCACATCACTATCTCATTTAAGATCTCGGTTATTTTTAACGAGCCTGTATCTTTGAATCAGATGAAGGGTTATGTTGGACATCTGGATCGTAAATTATCACAGAAACAAGCCATATTAATTTCAGCAGCAGCTTGGCTCGCAGTCCCCTTTTAGTGGACGAGAGCAGGACAGTTAAATAAGGTGAGGCTGGCAAAGACTACCGGCAACTGTAACAGTAGTCAGCACTGCCATTTAGAGTTAAAATAGTTTAACGTTTGTCATCCTCCACAATGGAGTTTACAACCAGATGTTCCGTAGCTCCTTCGCACAAGGAGAAAACACAGGCAATCTGGACAATTAGTTGGCATCACGAGAAAAATTACATAAGATAATGAAAACAAAATTATTTTAATGAATATATTTTCTTTTATTCTCTGAAAATGATACGAAACCACCATCATCACATATTGTCATGCATGTTTTGTTTTACCATCCTGCCGTTGTTTGGGACTGTTTGTTTTTCCATCTTCCGTCTACCGTCTGACTGATTCCATGTAAATGCTGCATAATTCAGCTCCCAGTTTCCAGCTCCTAACCTAAAAACAAACTTGAGCAACTAGAAACAAGCTAAGCTAACTTAAGCCACAGCTCTGCTAGAGGCTCCTTCTGATGTCTGGCTACCAAAGAGCACTGGAGAAACACTGATTTTAACATGAAACTGCTTTATTTAGTGCTACTATTTTCAGCCAGCTCATTATTGCTGGAAAACACTGTATTAATGATGTTGTTACACCTAATTCACAGTCAACGTCAACAAGATTAAGGATTTCGGTGAGGCTGCTAAACGAGAGCTGATGATGGACAGGCAGACGTTTGAGATGGCCCGTAGGCTCTCGCATGACACCATGGAAGAGAGGGTCCCCTGGACACCCCCAAGGCCTCTGACGCTGACTGGCAGCCTGGTCACCCCAGGGGCCAACAGCACAGAGAAACTCACCCAGAGAGACCGCGAGATGGGCATCCTGCAGGAGATCTTTCTCAGCAAAGAGAGGTAGGACATTAGACAAAGCCTGCTGCATCTGTGGTACTTTGTAAGGTTTTTGTTTCCAGGATCAAAAATATATGAGCTTTAAATGCCAAAAAGTGAAGACAGTGTTCCTAAGAAATCAATAGAAATTTATGTTTATTACACTTCTTCACAGAATTTCAACTGAAGGAGTTACACATTGGCATTTCAGATAGATAGATCATAGTGAGAAAGTATTCCAACATCTATCATATCTAAGTTATGCACATAGAAAACTACTTGTGTCACACAATGATGATAGCAACCGGTAACTTGTTCAAAGTATTTATGATGATTATAATAAACTAGTCCATACCCATTGAGTGCACAGTTGCCCACGTACAGTTTCACATGGTGTGTTTTTGGGATATAGGTCATAGGAAATTGCAGATTAAATAGTCGACTGAACCCATTAAAAGAAGAGTAATGTTTTCAGACAGTTTTTGTAAATTTGATAGTACGATTGCTTTATTGAAAGTACAGTAGTACCATTGCAAATAGTGGGATAGTTAGTGGGCTAAAACTGTACATTAGTAGTTGAGGTAGCACGTTGAAAGGCAGATAGTTAAAGTGTTTATGTGTTGTATTGACTTAAAAGTGGGGCGCACTAGTTCACGTGGGAAAGGTGCGGCTAGCCCTTGTTGCAGCGGTGTGGGTTGGAATCCGGCCTTTGTACTTTGCTGCATGTCTTCCTTGCCCCCCCCCCCCCCATCCTTCCTGTCATGCTTCACTCTCCTGTCAAATACAGGCAAAAAATGCCAAGATCGATTTTAAGTGTTTTTCAAAAAATCCAAAATGGCGGGAAATCTATATAACCGGAAGTTATGGCTTCTTGAGGCAAATTTGTTCCTCATGAGGAGAGGCATCTCTGTGCAAAGTTTCACGTCTCTACGACATATGGGGCACAAGATATGCCCATTCAAAGTTTGCAATTTCATTCGGTTGCTATAGCGCCCCCCTTTGGCCAATTGATGTAATATTGCTTCATTCGCATCCTCCCATTACCCTCTACCACTGTGCCAAATTTCACATAGATTGACCAAGTCAGTGAGGAGAAAAACGTGGAACAGACAAATCCACACACGCAACAATATATCCCTTCTTATATCAACACAAACAATTCAGTAAACACAATAGTGATATTTTTTAAACAGTTAATCAACAATGAAATGCATCTCAATCTCTAAGAATTTCAGGACCTGCAATGTATGTTAATGATTTCCCATCTCTTCTTATCACTAGTGTTCCGGACAGTCCACATGAACCAGACCCAGAGCCTTATGAACCCATGCCTCCTCGTCTTATCCCTCTAGATGAGGTTGGTACACCAAAAACACACACACTAGCACGCGCATGCGCGCGCACACACACACACACACACACACACACACATATATATGCTGTCTCTTAGAGGCCGTTTACATGTTGCCGGCTATTTTCATAAACGGACATTTCACTGTCTCCGTTTTCAAAAAGATCTTCGTTTACACTTACCAGTGTATATATACACAAGAGCATGCCAAACCTGTAGGTGGCAGTGTAACGAGAAGCTCAAACCTTCCATGTATCCATTGTCACCATAGCAACATAGGTCGCACTTTTGACACAGGCGCAAGTTCCGGCGCATACTGTGACGTCAGCCGCCTAAAACTCCGTTTATCTCTGTTTATCTCAGTTTACATGCAAACACGCAACCGGAGTTTTACAAAATCTCCACTCTGGCAAGAGTTTTTAGAAAGACTCATTTTCAGAGGAGAAATCTCAGTTTGCGTGTAAACAAAGGGCACAAACGAAGGAAGATGTCTCCGTTTATCAAAATCACCGTGTACGTGTAAACGGCCTCTTACATATCTTTCTCTTATTTAACACATTGTGTACATGTGTGTGCAATACCTTGTTTGCTAAGCTGTCAGTCTGGTCTCCCCTCCAGGACTCCTCCATGCTGGATGAGGGCTATGTTGATCCCATGGACACGTCTTTACAGCAGGGCTCTGCCATGGCCCAGAACGAGAGCTCCAAGCTGCCGCCCGTCCTGGCCAACCTCATGGGCAACCTGAGCAACAGCTCTCGCAGCCCTCAAGCCACAAACACTGCCAACAACCCTGTGGCTCCCACTGTCAATGTACAGGAACTGCTCTCATCTATCATGGTAAAGATACAGCATAGTCATCAGGAGAAGCTTATTTTTATACAATTACTTTTTTGACATTCAGGACTCCTTGTGTACTTTTGAAACTCACTAATCGATGTACACCCAGTACTCATTTTATTTTTCATGAAATTTCAATAGCCAGTGTAAATATATCTCTGTAGTTGGTTGTAAAAAATGTCTGTTGGTAGTTGTAATGTGTAGCTAATGTGTAGCTGTCTGTCATCAGGGTGCTTCTGGTAATCAGTCTACTGACGACTTGATAAAGCAGCCAAACTTCTCAGACAAGATTAAACAGCTACTTGGCTCCCTTCAGCAGACCCAGAACCAGAACCAGGGTGGACCCCCGCCAGGTTGAACTACATCTCTCCTCCTTCTGTCATAACACCATGTCTACTTTTTCTGCTCCTTCTCTTACTCATTGTTCTATGTTTTTCTTTCAATCTAGTCAATCCAGGTTTACTGGGTCACGGTCCAGGCATGAACAATATGAACAACATGAACATGCACATGCAGATGCCCATGAATGGGGGCTACCCAACTAACAATCCACCCGGCGGTCCTCGCTTCAACCACCCTCCACCTCCTCACAACCACGGCCCACCTTTCAACGCTGGTGGAGGCCCACGCATGATGGGGCCACCGCCAGGCCAGGGCCGAGGAGACAATGGTAACTACTGGGGAGACGACTCCATGAGAGGAGGGCCCCACAGAGGGGGCCACTTCCACAGAGGAGGACGGGGCCGAGGAGGAGGAGGGGAGCCGGGCTTCAGGGGCAGAGGACGAGGGGGACCCAGAGGAGGACACAACAACATGAATGGTATGTGGGACATGGGCTTGAAAGTTACACCGTACTGTCCATTATTAGCCATGGCCAGCACAAACCAATGGAGACCACATAAAAAACTGAATGGGGTGAAATGGCTCACATGGTATATTCAATATGAAGTCCCTTTCCACAGCACTAACTCAATCAGTACAACAGTGTAATGTCCTAATCACCACTTTGCTGTTCTCCCTTCTCCCTTCAAAGAGACAATCAACAAGTGACAATACAGTTTTTCATGCACTGTTCAATTTAGAGATTTGGGGCTTTTTTGCTTCCATAACATGTTTTCTTTCAGACTAGTGGAAAGAAAATAACCAAACCATACATTCAAGAGATTATTTTAGTTCAGATTTCTGTTACACATTTCTGCAAAAGTTGCAAATTTAATATGATAATTCTGTTTGCATATTTAAAGGATTTAGTGGCATCTAATGGTGAGGTTACAGAACTGAAACTTCTCATGTGCCAAGTGTGTAGCTGAACTGTGGTTGCCAATGCGAAAACGTGAGTGGCTCAGTCTAGAGCCAGTATTTGGTTTGTCCTCTCTGCGCTACTGTAGAAACAACATGGCAAGCAGAGGACCTGCTCCGCATGTAGATATAAACTTTTCACTGTAAGGTGACAAAAACAAAGTCATTCTTCATGGTAAGGTAACAAAAACAGAGTGATTCTTATTCTCAGCTCTGCCTACACCAGTGTACATAATCTTGTACAGCTGCCAAATCACACACTGATCCAAGACTCAAGCAGTTGACACTTTTCAACTGCAGTCTGTGCATGCCGCAGTCTATGAATGCTGCAGGTCCACTTTCTAATACAGTGAAAAACACATTTCTAACAGATAATGTTGCAGAGTGAAAAGAGGATGCTGACCGCACACAGACAGATGAGGCAGAGCAGTACTATAGCAGCTTTTTGTAAACACTGCTGTCAGGCCAGCTGTGGCTGCCACACTGCTGTGCAGTTAGTTTAAAGTTGGAAATTAGACAGACAATGACTCTGGACCCAGCGGCGTCTTCTTACTCAGTTAGTTTACAGTCAGAGGACAGTTCGCTCACCTCCCAGCCCTCCAAAAATGAGAAATTATGAAAAAATTTATATTGTATTGGTCTCATGTAGCACACTTATTTTCAGTATTAATGTGTAGTTTGTTTAATATAAATATTGAGATGATATTCACATACAGCATTGAAAGTATAGAGGTCAATATGTAATAATTAGATAATATGAATAAACGTTCATATAAAATACAGGAATAGAAGTCATCAAAGAAGTTTCTATAGAAGCTTTGCTGAAAAGCTCCTCAAAATGCTTGTATGACCATATCAAATTTGAAGTAGCCTTATTATACAATACTGTAGTTTTTGGTTGGATCCGGCCCCAACCTTGGAGGAGTCATTGAGAAACAAGGAAAAATACACATAATGGTGTAGTAAAAAAATACTGGTGCAGGTAAAAAAAATTGCATGCAATTTTAAAAGATACATGCACCAGTACATGTGCGCAGAAAGAAGTATTTCAAGCCCTGTAATATTATATATCCTTTTGCCCATAGATGCCCCTAAATCCTACTCATTTGACCTTTAACAGAATATTTCAGACTTGTCCTATTTTAATTGTCTTAATTCAGTTAATTAACAGAGGAAGCTTCATTACTCTATTAACCTGTAGTGTCTCATTTTTTGTCTAAAAATGTGTGGAATTTTACAATACATATGATTAAAGATTTTTTTATAAAGACCATTTTGTCATATTCTGAGTCAGTAATCTCCACTTAAGTAAAACTTGCTGATACCAAGCTTTCCAGTGTTATCCCTATCTATGTTTTGAAGGTTTTTACACAGGGGTTTATTCATATGTCCTGTGAAGAGCCTGATTTACAGATCATTTGAGACCTAAAAACAGGGTGAAAATGTCTTTTTATGGCTGTTAACAGTATTGACTCTAAAGGCTCAGATGCATCAAACCAACTTCAGAGAACTAGTGCAAAGAAAGGTCCCCTGCTGCGTTACCTTGGTCACTGTGTCTCAGCCAAAAAGTTGCACATGAACACACACCAAGACTACAGCCAGCAGCCTACCAGCACGTATGTTCAGCACCTGCGTGAGAGGAAATCACTCTCCACACCAGTAGACGGCAGTCATCTGTATTCGTTATTCAAAAAGGGAAACTGGAAGACCATCTTGGTGCTAGTTAGCCAGTTAGAAAATTAACAACACAGTCCAATGTTGAAAGAACAGAGCATATTTACCGTGCACCAGTGAACAATAACACAGACCATCAGGAAACGTTTCTGCCAAATAGCTCAAAAAAAAAGGAAAATCTGACCGTATGGAAAAATTTCTTTTGGTCTCACTCCCTCAGGATTTGAGGTCTTTGTTTACTTTCCTCACTTTAATTTCTCTTCTCGTGCGGTGAGCTGAATTGCCAATCAGAGTGATTTCATTCACCAGTGGGCTCCGCCGTCTCTGATGCTGAATCGGCAGGGAAAAAAAGCTGGCAAGGGCAAACAGTGCGGGACTCACCGCAGCGACGACGGCCACAGACACTCACACTGACTGACAGCTGACTGTCAGATGATGTGTCAGGGCCTTGATATGCCAACAAAATGAAACAAGGGGTTTGAACCTGGCTTTATTCAGTGCTCAAATTTTTGTTCTGGAAATGTACGCAAATAACACATATTTAAATAAATATTGTTTCATTTGTATATTCAAATATACAATTTCAGAAAACTTGTAATACAGAAAAAACGATTGTCTTAATTTAAGTAACCAGCAGTAAAGCTTCATGGTGATATCTGTTAGTTCAAAGTTTTGGCCCATTCACCTGCAGTGTCTCTTTAACACAGATAGTGGAGCTTGATGCTTCCTTGTAGATGCTAGAAACGGCAGCTGAGTTGAGTTTGTTCGGGAGCATTAACTCACTGTCTCTCTCCCCTCCTTTCCTCGGCTGCAGACTTAACGGTCACGCGGACACAATCGTCCATTAAGTTTGAGAGTGTATGTATGTGATTGTGAGTGTATGGGAGAGAGATGGAGAGTTTGAAGATCAGAACCACTTGTCTCGCATGCTGATCCTAACTTGTCGGGTTGTCCTCTGGGTTTCTAATTAATACGTTTAGCTCACTAGTGTTTGTGGTGCTAAATAAAGAGGGTAACGTTGAATTGATGAGCTGACCCGTGGCCATGGTGTATTTTTGTGTGATGTGATATAAATGCTGTTGTGTTTCCTCCTGTCAGACATGTCCAAGAGACCCGTGTGTCGTCACTTCATGATGAAGGGAAGCTGTAGGTACGAAAGCAACTGTGCTTTCTACCATCCTGGTGTAAATGGACCACCACTGCCCCCCAACCACCCAGCTAACAACCAACACAACCAGCACCCACAGCATGGACACTAGGTGACACTGCTGCCTACCTGGGAACAACTCTTAGAACTGCTTGCCTCTGGAAGAGCCATTCTCTGTGATCAAACCACTGCAGGCTGTATGAGACACAAGCATAGAAAGGGTCTGCTGTGTCTGTGACGTCGCTGTGCCTCACCTGAGAGAGACCACAAGAGAGGAGCTGGGAGAGGATCACTGATGGTACTTTGTGTTTTTATTGGGATAATTTTTAACAGTGGAACTGAAACAAGCCACCACACGACCTCCATCTGTCCGTCACATTCTACAATATTAACATGGTCGACCAAATGGAACTCTCCAACTCAGCAGAAAGCTTGCCACATGACTGAATTTTCTTCTTATTGTGCACCTACATGTCATGTTGCTTTCATATCCCCTTTAGTTTTGGTACTTCACAGGTCAAGTCTGTACAGAATAGTCAGAAATGTTTTCCTTTCTTACACAATTCTTACATGTGAAACAAAATGTTGGAAGCACTTTACAGACAAAACAACCAACTGAATTGAGCCACAGCTAGGATTTATTCAACCTGGGCCTGAAGAAGAACTGCACAGTATTCAAAATGCTTTATTTCACCCAATCCTGAGCAAACTTTAGAAATGAGCTCTGGTGAGGAAGGCCTTTTTTGTGTTTTCTTCCAGCAGCTGGTTTTGGATGTAAAGAGATTATGAAGAAGCAACAGCAGTGTGCTTTATCATATGGACGTTTTCCCTCTGTGCACTCTGGTCCAGCAGCTCGTCGTCAGACCGTCTGCGTATGGCGTGACAATCATGAGCTTCAGACATGCCATGATCCTGTCAAAAGTGCAGTTTCTCCCTGATCTCAGAGCTGCTACCTGTGTCTTCTGTACTCCCATCTGAACCCAGGAGGGGTTTCTATTGTCAGTGTTAGAGTCAGATGAATGTGGCTCGGCTAGATTGAGTGTTTTCTGTGAAAACAATGACCTCTGTGTCTCTTGTGGGACTGTAAGAATGTAATGGTTTTGTTGTTCCCTCCACCATTTTATTTTTATTTTGATGCAATCCTGAGAATGTTGGCCCTCTTCAACATGGGTTCAGCTTCTTGTCAGTATGAAATGTTTGTATTTGCGTGTTTGTATGAATGCAGAATACACATTCATAAACACACTCACTCATATTTTCTGTTGAATTCTTTTGTACAGTGTTTTGAATAAATGTCCAAACATAAATGTGCTGTGTTTGATTTGAAAGTGGGGCTACTGAAAACAACGAGCAGTTTGGATGAAATGGAAATATTCTGCAAAGAAGAATTACAAGAAAAACACCTTCACAACATATACAAAAGATAGGATTCCTAGGCTTCCACACAGCTAAGGTTAACACAAATGGGATAAAATTATGAAATAATGACATTTTATATCCAAAAGGTCGAGTTCTCTGATACCATGATGTTCTGCAAGAATACTTTTCTCTCCATTACTCAACATAATATCTCAGGACCACGACAAGAGGTCAGATACTGAATTGATACTGAATCTATCTTTATACAACACCAATGCGTACACTCAAAGTGTTATTGAATTCTTCCTTCTATCCATACTGGCCATGAAGTAACAACTCTACCATAAAGTTGGGAGACAGGTATAGATTCAATCTTATGGCAATTTTCCAATTGTGTATTCTGATTATTGGGGTAGGGCAAAATGATAAAATATGGACATGGCGCAAACTGCCTTTTTCAAAATGACAAGTGGAATCCACATACAGTAAGCTCTTGAGAAACGGAGGGACAGATTCTTTACAAATGCAGTTACTAGTGCGGGATGATAACAAGGGATTTAATGAAAAGATGAAGGTATATTTTATCAATCGCCAAGGGGAAATTTAATTTTATCACTCTGTTGTCATATACACACAGGACTGAAAAACACACACATGCACAAACTGGACCGATACGCATTAAATGGAGAGATGTCAGAGTGAGGGAGTTGCCCGGAGCAGCTGAGGGTTCAGTGCGAAATCAAAATGCCCACATTTGGAGAATTCTCTGGGGTCAGCGCAACTGGAGTGCAATGGCTGAGCCTTTGCCAGGGTGAACCACCTTCTTGATCATGGTATCTCCCCTGCCAGGTAAGTAATGAATATGAATATGCATGTGAATATAAATATGAATATGTCCATCCATCCATCCACCCATTCTCTAACCGCTTATCCTCTTGAGGGTCGCGGGGGGGCTGGAGCCTATCCCAGCTGACATTGGGTGAGAGGCGGGGTACACCCTGGACAGGTTGCCAGACTATCGCAGGGCTGACACATAGAGACAGACAACCATTCACACTCACATTCAAACCTACGGACAATTTAGAGTCACCAACTGACCTATCTCCAACCTGCATGTCTTTGGACTGTGGGAGGAAGCCGGAGTACCCGGAGAAAACCCACGCTGACACGGGGAGAACAAATATGAATATGTGTATTAGATTTTGATATGTGAGAGGAAAGGTCAGGAGGTCACTGAAATAAATGGAGTGAATTCTCAGAGAACCATAAATGATGTATCCTGATGGCTGACATAATAACATATCCCAGCATCTCAGTGAGTGTCACCTCTCATGTGATGGGTTTGCTCCCCCCCCCGGTTACAGTTTTGGAAAAGTTGCCATGACATTGGGCAGAGTGGGTAACTGTGATCTGTAACTCAGACTTGAAGCGGCTCCAAAACCCCCATGTTTACTGTGTGTCCATTGGTTTCTAGGGATTTGACTTTAGGTTATTTTGAAATTGGTTTGAGATGAAACACCTCTAATTCCCAACATGAAGTCAAATGATGAGAGCTGTAAGGCAGTGGCATCAGCTACTGTGGTGGCCCTGACTTGTAAAGAGACCCTGTGTCTGGGTTCATCTGTTCATCAGCTGTTTTTCCATAAAAGCTAATAGCGAAGCCCTTGACCCCCTCCAGCCTACCTTTTGGAGGAAAAGCTAGAACTGATGGAGTTGGAAGAAATACATATACAACAGGAGGAGGAGATGGAGCCTAAAAGGAAATTGGATGACCAAGCACATATGGTTCAACAGGGGACATAGGTTCCCATGTACCCGCATGGCATTTTTTTGTAACCTTGTTTTTTAGGACCCTAACGGTGTCTAGTTAAGAATTTTTCTTGTTGCCAAGGTCAGCTCATGGCCCATGGGGTTCGTTTGGCAACAATCTTGAATTGATGCCCACACTAATGGCGAAAGATGCCAATTTTCATAACTCCTGAACCAAACATACAAAGAGAAATTAACCCACTTTTTCATATAACTTTGACACCAGGAATCAAATGGAAAGGAAAGGCCACTTTATTGGTAAACAAAACAAAACAAAACAAAACAAAAAAATTTGCATTTGCATTTGCAGTTGCCAAATGCAAATAGTTTAGTATCTTACATCAGTCTCAGGGTTATTAAATGAATGAGATCTGTGGCACCAAGATGAGTCAGTTTCAGGTTGATGAGAAAGACCTCAAACCAGACCAGGTACCTGCGGCCAGGACAGACAACAATACCACTCTCTTGCCAAAATTACCCTTGCGGACTTTGTCTTGGTACTCCAGATAATGCCTGCTGCAGATAAACTCCAGAGGCGAGCAGATAAACTGCTGCCTGAGGAGCTTGACATGTTCCTCCCATTTTTCTTGTCTGGTGCTAGTGATTTTCAGTGTGAGAAGACTTGTCAACTTGTGCTTTCTATAGGATAGGAGCTCTGCAGAGCAGAGACAAATGGCAAGAGGAAACTAAGCACATACCTCTATGTCCCAGAGTCCATCACTTGTCCTGCAGCAAGGAGCTGGCCACCATTCTGCACAGACTGGGCCATTGCAAGTCATATGATTTTCTGTTGGAGCTTGGGACAACTGCGGCTTTTTTATTTTTTATTTTTTTATTTAACCTTTATTTAACCAGGCAAGTCATTAAGAACAAATTCTTATTTACAATGGCAGCCTGGCAAAAGGCAAGAGCCTCTTGAGGAGAAGGGGACAGGGATTAGAGGGGTATCAAAAGATAAAAGAAGCAGCAACACATACAATGTGCACCACATAAAAGACAAACAGCATAAAGTGGCTAACAGAGAGCAGCATCATGCAGCATAGCAACAACAAAAATAGCGCACACATGCAGCAGGACGGACAATGCAACATCAGCAAAAAACAAAACAAGCAATGCAACAAACAACAACAAACATACAAACAACAAATAGCAAGACAGACTGGCAGAGCAATAACAATAGCAGCAGGAAGAAGAAGCATACATTGAGCAAACAGAAGGCAGCCGACAGACAGAAGTTCCAGAAAGAAATACTACTGGGTCAAGAGCAGCTGCATGTTTCAGTGAGAATGTCTAAAATTGTGCCCTTGAAAATTGACTTGGGAATGAAGTTTTCCAGCTTTAGCTTGGCTAGACTAATAAGGCCACACCAGAAAAGGTGTTCTTAACCGGTCAGATTTCTGCCTCTCCTTTCTTGCTCATATTAGGTCAAGTCCAGTGTTTCTCCACAACACACTATCACTTTTGATATGTGTATGAAATGTACAAATGCAATGTATTTGTGGTTTCCAGATGCTGGCATCAACATTTTCTTTTGGTGGCTGGGCTGAGCATGTTGGGTCTTGCAGCTAAATTGTTCTATATACTATAAAAGTAGTATATAGTGTAGTGTTTTGCTGGATTTTTGACCTCTTTAGGTGTCTTTCTCCACTACACTCTTTGGAAGAAGGTGAAGTTGTGCCAGAAACCCCCACCCTGCACTCAAGTCCCAAGTTCTTCTTTGATTTTCGAGTTCTAAACAATTCATAATGCTCTCTTCACCAAATGTGAAGCCATTATCTCAGACTAATAGAATATTTTTTAGAAAAAATAATGCTTTTTAAAATCTGTATTACAACAAGTTTGTTAAAAAAAGTGCAACTGAACTTAATCTTAAAAAGTTAGGGCTTACATGCCACTTTAATAGCACAACACTAGTATCTATTACAATAATGGTATGATGGGTTTCTGTCTTGCCTTAATGTATTTAACTTATTTCATACAAGAACTGGAATTACCACCTCGCGGTCACATGCATCTGTGCACCAGTCAAGTTTCTCTTACAGTTTACATGTCTGTGAAATAATGCTTCAAATACAGAAGATCTATACAATCAGCACAGTTTCAAGATTAGAGTTACCAGTTCAGTATCTGACCAAATCTCTCCCCTTCTGTTCCTGAGATATGAGTTCAACAAATTTATTAATGGATAGCCCCTTGAGATGAACCATCTCGTTTTCAAGGGGGTCCAACATAGAACATATAATACAATACAACAACACATTCACATACAGCATGCATAAGGTTCTCAATTACCAACCAACCCACACATCATTCTTGTAAATCCACAGTACCCACACAGAATGAGTAAAAATAAATACCACAAAGCATATCATGTAGTGCCAATCATAATGATATTAGTGTTGACATTAATAATAATGACAATAATAATAATAATAGTGATAATAATAATAATATACATCATTATACCATACATTATACATAAATACTTATACAATAATAATAGCAATGTTAATAATACGGGTAAAGAGGACATTACCATTAAAAGCAGTTGCATGATGTTTTGAGAAAGTAAAATAGTGAGTTCTTAAAAATGCGAGATGAATTGATTGTTCGTATATTGTTAGGTAGAATGTTCCAGTCCAGTGGAGCTTTAAATTTGAAAGCACATCTGCTGAATTCTTTATTAGTTTTAGGAACAAAGAAAAATGATTGCTGGGTGTGTCTGAGAGGATATGGAGATGTGAATGGGATTAAATATTGTTTTAAATAAGGGGGACCGTTGAAATGAATACATTTGAGGATAACTTGGAACCAATGGTAATGTCTTCTTGTGTTGAGTGGTAACCAGTTCAAAGATTCATACATGGAGCAGTGATGTGTTCGATATGGGCACCTTAAATCAAGAAATGTTGCACCAGTGAGTTTGCCGTTTTCAGAAGCAGTAAAGACATCATTGGTGAACTTTAACAGAGCTGTAGTTGTTGAGAAACTGGGTCTGAAACCAGACTGGCATGGAGATAAAATATTGTAGTTCGTAATATAGTGTGATAATTGAATGAAAATTAATTTTAGCTATAGAGTTGATAATAGAAATTGAATGGTAATAATTATTGATATCATGTAGGTCTCCTCCCTTATG